GCCCGCTATCTCATTTCTTATAGCAGGTTTAGACCACAGTTTATTTAGCCTTTCCAGTACAGTCCAGTACCAATGGACAGTTGAACTGTGTCTGAAAACAACGCTGTACTGGGCATTCCTGAATGAGCCCTAGGGCAGATACTGACAAATATTCAGGTACAGGTGCACCAAGGTGGCCTCAGAGCTACACATGCGCACACAGGATGGCAGCTCCCGAGGGGACGGTGACTCCAGGCCACGTGCCTGACGTGGTGCAGTTTCCGGGTCTGCAGCCCTGCAGCTAGGGGCCGCGGAACGGAGTGCTCAGCTACCCTGGCCTGGGTTCTAGCTACCACGCAGCGAGCTGCTAAGTTTCAAGGCTGGAGAATTTTAAGAAGTAAGCTTTGGTGACTCGTGGGGAAGTATCTGGGGCTTCACTTCTATCCTCTGGTTTTACTTTTTTATGGTCTACGTCTACAGATATCGTTACATTTAGAGACAAAGCAAATGAATGTCATACCGTTCATCATGTGAAGCTTGTGTTGTTTCCGTGGGTCCCTGGCAAGCCTGCCTGGATAAAGGCTCCAGGAAACTATGTTGGTTTGGCCATGTGAGCACTGCATTCCTGATAGATTGCACTGAACAAATTTCTGATGCTATGCTGATGCTATTAGCAGAGCCTGGCCTGGCATTAAGACGTCTCATTAGGACTGACCCAAATGGAGTGTTAGCATTGGACTGTCAGGGCTCTTCCAGGAGCCCCGAGTAGAGAAGGGATTCTCAGGTTAAGTACAGGTCTTCAAGAATGGGAAGACTCTGGGGACATCTGACCAGATTCCCACAAGTGAAACCATGTCTGACTGCTTCCAAAGAAAGCTTTGAGGTCCAGGAGTCAATCATCCTCTGTGTACCTGCAAAGTGTGCTTAATGTTTCAAAGACAACTGTTTATACACCTGCAAAAGATCTATGCCTGCACCCATATATGTTACTTGGAAATTTGGGGGTTACATTGGCTAGTCAGTTTCTATACAGTATCTATTCACATATCTTATATATAATGTCTCCATTAAGAGGAGGACCCATCCATTCACATGTTTTATGTATAATATCTTCATTATGAAGAGGAAACATCTTTCTATTATTTGGCCTTTCTTGAACCTTGGTGTACATCGAAGGAGTATAACAAACATTTAAAGCTTCTGACCAAAGGCCCTACAATTTATTTCTTCAATTTCTTTGTATTAAACTGTTTTATATTAAATTTAAAGGTTTTAATTTTAAGTTATTGACATCAGGATCCAATTCAACTCTTTTGTGACATGTGTATATTGGACTGAAACAAATTTGAATTTTTTTAAAACACATGTTTTTGGGGCGCCTGGGTGGCTCATTCGTTAAGCGTCTGCCTTTGGCTCAGGTCATGATCCCAGGGTCCTTGGATCAAGCCCCGCATCGGGCTCCCTGCTCAGCAGGAAGCCTGCTTCTCCCTCTCCCACTCCCCCTGCTTGTGTTCCCTCTCTTGCTGTGTCTCTCTGTCAAATAAATAAATAAAATCTTTAAAAAAAAAAAAAAAACACATGTTTTTAGTGACCAATTTAATAGATCACGCGTAATCCCCATCCCTTGGATTTATAGTTTAGCTGACTATTTTACTTCTTATTTTATTGTTTAGTTGACTTGATATAATATGAACAAGAAGCAGACATTTGTATAAAAGTCAGAGATCTGCAGGCTGCTTGTTAACTCGGCAGAGCTGACTAATACACAAGTCTATCTACAATAATCACTACCCATGGTATGACTCAGTTGATTTCCTCAAAGTTGCTATCATGTCTCATCTGTCTTGTTTATTGATACGGTCTTTCTTCCTACCTCCCCACGACCTGCCTTGTCCACCACTGCAGTCCTTGGTGCCCAGAGCAGTGGCTGGTGTTCGTTCAACACGCATTCAATAAATGTTCTTTCTGCCAATCATTGCATCTGTGACGATGACCCCACCCACCAAACACTGAATCACTCTCAGGATACGAGACTTCTGCTTTGAAAAGCACCTCATCTTGGCCCCGAGTGCAACTAACACACAAACCAAAAGAATCACAGAATTTTTGAAAGCTCCAGGGTTGGAATTTCAATAATCAAATATCAGAAAACTAAGAAATGTTCTTAAGCAGCCTAAGGAATGGCACTAACATGCTACAAATCAATTCCATACCTGGCATTTGGTTTGCTAGTTAAACACATGATTGAATTTTTATAACTTATTTGAAGAGTTTCTCTGGTGCTATTTCCTTGGGCTCTCGCCCTCTACTTTCCTCTGGCGTAGCACCAGGTCCTCGAAGCACTAAAAATTAGACATATGGAATGCCAGGAATGTCTGATAACTATACTAACTTCAGAGATCAGCCCTCAGTCATAAACAAAAATGCATGCCCTTTGAGCTTCGACTCAAATTCAGTTTGAAGCACACAGAAGTCACGAGGCTGAATGCTGGCAAAGTGTACATGGTGAAGTGGGGTGGGCTGGGCAGAACTCTAAATATAGTTCTTCATCACTGCAAAGATAAACACTGCTTCTTTATCTACAACATTAATGAATTGAATGTGCAAAGCACACTGCGTGGTAAATTTTTAGATTAGTCACCTCTGATTTAGAAAAACAAGTCATTAAAATTGCTTTATAAAATAAAATTCAGCCTATTCCCGGATACTTTCCCTAACATCTCCTTAAGCAGGGCCTCATCTTTAGTTAATTTATCCAGTTCTACAGGTGATGGTACTGTTCAAGATTAATTAAAAGAAAAAATGCAAAATGCAAAAAGTTTGAAGAATTGGCTTTTAGTCCAAAAGGGAAATAACAACCAATTGTAGCATATTTATCTCAATTAGGTCCCAATTTTTAAGGGGGAAAAAAAGGTTATAAAAGAATTCTTGGGGTGCCTGGGTGGCTCAGTCGTTAAGCGTCTGCCTTCGGCTC